ATTCCAGGCTATCCTCTCAGCTCCTTTCCAATCTCTTGTTCTAAACACAGGTGCACATACACACACAGTGGGAGCTGACTTCACTCTTGCACACACAAGAATACAGCACCTTTTTTTTTTTCAGTACTGGGGTTTGAACTCAGGGCCTACTCCTTGAGCCATTCCACCAGCCCTTTTGTGTGCTGGGTTTTTTCAAGATAGGGTCTCACGAGCTCTTTGCCCGGGCTGGTTTTGAACCTGATCCTCCTGTCTCTGCATCCTGAGTAGTTAGGGCTACAGGTGTGAGCCACCAGCACCCGACTCCAGCACCTCATTGATACAGGAAAGGAGCTGTAGAATTCACACACCCCATAAGTGGTATCTCCTACTTAAGTACAACCTGGCCCAAGTGACCTGGGAACATGGATTCCGAATCTGTGTAGGTGAAAGTATTGTGAACCAGATGTCTGGGGTGCGAGGAGAGAGGTCAGTTCGAGAATGGATGTCAATTAAAATGATGGCAGGGAGCAGCCTTTAATAAATATTGATGAAGAACTGATGAATGAATGAATTAATGAGCCAAATGTTACTCTCCTGTCTGCTATTGTCTGCCCAAAGGGACACAGCCTGTTTGATGGTGATGGAGTTGTGTGCCGAGAACTGGCAACAACATTTCCATCTGTTCCATGAGCGTACGCCAAGTTCAGTCTCCTCAGAAGTGCAGTGATTTAGCAAGGCTGAGATGGGGTGCAGTGAACACATTCTCCCTTCCCTGGACCCCTGTCCTCAGCCTCCTCAGATGCTCCCAAAGGGAGGATGAATTAGAAATAGAGGGCTGGGTGACAGCTGACCATCCCTCTAAGGGAAGGAATGAGGAGCAAGGGGTGTGGTCAGGATCATTGTCCCTCTGACCTTTGTGAAGGCTGGGGCAGGAACAAAGGACACGTAGGCCACAGAGGGGGCCTTCTGCTATACTCAGGAGCTTCTTTTTTATTTTTACAACTTAAAAAAATATATATTTTGAATCTAGGTGCCGGTGGCTCATGCCTGTAATCCTAGCTATATAGGAGGCTGAGATAAGGAGGATCAGTTTGAGGTCAGCCTGGGTAAATAGTTCTTGAGATCCCATCTCTAAAATAACCAGAGCAAAATGGACTGAAGGTGTGGCTCAAGCGACAAAGCACCTGCTTTGCAAGCACCACTGCCCTTCATTTTGTGAAAACCTGCCTCTCCAAAAGCAAATGGTGGCCCCAAAGCCAGGAAAAAGCAGATGTGCTTAATTGAAGCAATTAAGTGAAAACTTGGTATTTATTGAAGGCTGCCGTATCTTGAGTGGAAGCTGGGTGTGTTCTGGGAAAAGTAAATCAGGCATCCACAGAACAGCGCTGAAGTCTGTGCATCCTGAACAACAGCTGGAGATACCAAGGGTCTACTGTGTGTGATTTAGGGCTGGGGGTGTAGCTCAGCAATAGAGCACTTGCCTGGTGTGCTTGGTCCTGGCTCCATCCCCAGCACCACAATGAATAAATACAACATGTAATTGACTTTTATGGAAAAGGAAAGAAGGAGAGAAAGGAAGGGAAGAAAAGAGGGACAGAGGAGAGACAATAAGAGAGTAAATTCTTCTTCCTGTCTGCCTGGCACCTGTCACCAGGTTACACTCTTCCAAAAGTTCTACTTAGTCTGAAAGTGTGAGATGAGGGGTCAGTGTCAACAGCACCCTACCCCTGCCCTCTCTGTGTCCCCCTGGCTCTGCTGACCTCTCTCAAACAGACCTGGCACAGGGACTGAGGGGATCTGACCCAGCCACAAACTTCAATGTGTATGTAAGGGGTAGCTCTCTTATGCCTCCCTTAGGGAAAGAGGGCACAGACTGAGCCCAGCCATATTTGGTCAGCCCTCTAGTGTGACCTGCAGCTGGGCACCTGCTACCAGGAGTGCTCCCTGACCTTCAACCCTGATGGCCCCTGGGCCAGGCCAGCTACTCTCCATGAACCAGAAGCTGCCTGCCGGGCTCACATACTCAGTCTTTTTTGGTGCCCCAGGTGGCCTGATGTTAGTGACAGGCAACTGACCTGTGTCCCCCACATCTCCTGCCCCAGGACTTGGTTCAACTCCTACATCAGGCAGGAACTGAGAAGGTGTCTGCAAAGAGAGAGGACCTGGCAGATCACATGCTGCCCAGGGGTTGTGTCCAAAGGTCACTGTCCTTAGGCTGGCCTGAGGCAGCTGGCAACCAGAAGAAAGAAGGGGGAGGCCCAGCCATACTAAAACAGAATCTGGGCCACAGTGACCCTAGGGTCCTTCGGGGCTGGCTCAGATGCCTATGGCCAACCCCTGAGGGACTGGGCCTCAGCCAAGGAACAGGCACCACATCTAGAGGCATTTGGGTTGTCACAACCAGGGGATGGTGGTGGTCTTGGTGTCTAGTGGATGGGACCTTGGATGTGCTCAGCCTCCTGCCATATCCAGCTTCTACCACAAAGAATGACCCTCTTAAATGTCAGTAGTGCCAGGCTGAGGCAGTGGAAGGCTCCAAGGGCAGCTGGGCCCCCTTCCACCCGGCGGTGGAAACCCAAGGAACCGCGTATTGGGGAGGGAGGAACTCCTCCGCTGGGAGCAGGGACCTGCTTTCCCTGGATCCCTGCTTTGGGCCTAGCTGGGAGATCCAGGGACAATTGTGGTAGGGACGGGGTCCAGGGTCGCAGCTGGTGGCGCGGGAGGGGACCGAGAAAACCTCAAGAACAATCGCAACCCCGGGATATTACACGGCCGAGCCCTGAGGTTGGGTGGGTGGGTGTGGGGTGCGTGGGAGCGCTGCGGGCCCCTCCCTCCCTCCCCCCTCCCGGCAAGCCAGGGCTGGGGCAGGGACAGGGCCAGCTGGCGCGGGCCGGCTGGCTCCGGGGATCAGGTTGCAGGGCACCGGGGCGGGGCTTGGAGTGGGAGCGGGAGGCGGCCTCGGGCTGGCGGGGGGGGGGGGGGGGGGGCCGGACCCTGGCTGGAGAGTGACGTCGGGGCACCAGATGCTCAGGGCCACCTCTCCTCCCCCCAACCCTGGAGCCTGGGGCAGAGGGCGGTGTCCGCGGTGGCGGTGTGGGAGCGGGTCCCGAGCCATCATCCTCTCCCCAGCGTCTGAAAGGCGGAGGCGGAGGCCCCCACGGGCCTTCCAGAGCCTTAGGCGGACGGAGCAAGCCGCTGCCGCCTTTGTGCCAATCACCCTAGAGCACGCTCGTCCTGGGCTGACCAACCTGTGAGCCTTGACTTGGAGTAGCCTGGGGTGCAACCCCCTCAACAATGGGGCCCCATGCACAGCCCTCCCATCATGGGTCTCTCCTCTCTCTTCCCCTCCCTCCCACATCTTGTGTGGGAGTCTCTGGCCTTGGCTGCTTGAGCACCTCTGTCCAAGGCCCAGCTCTGCTTCCGACCTTGAGTGGAGGTGGCTGGGGGCACCTGCAGCACAGCTCTGAGGCTTGGGGTTCTCTCCTAACTGCTGGGGACCCCTGAATCTAGGGCCTAGGTGGAGCTAGATAGAACCTGAACGCCCCTTTGGACAGGAAGGTGCCACTACTTGGGAACGCCCAATTGAATCCACCACAACCACTTCTCCTAGAACCTTGGGCTGATGTGGCAAAGCAGGAGTGAGACCACAGCTCACTCCTCTCCCTGTCCCAGAACGCTTGTTGAAGGACTGAAAACAGTTTGATCCCAGCTCTTCAGCCTGGCTTCTTGGATTTCTGGTGTGCCCAGGCCACCCTCCAATGCTTTCAGCGTCATGGTCCCCTGTCCTGTCCTGTCACCCACCAACCCCCCAAATCAGGGTACTGCTCAAGATTTGCTCCTCTTGATAGAATAATGTCGCTATTTTGTGAATCAGCCAAAATGGCAGCCCCGCCCTTAAACAAATTCCCGCGCTCTAAGACAGCCCCACCCCTACCAGAGACTACTGCACCAGTACTAACTTCCTTACCCTCCCCCTTCTATAAAAGCCACTGCTCGCCCAGGCTCTGGGCTGCGCCATCTTTTCCCTGGCCAGCCTGGCAGTTTGGGCCTGCCATTAAACTTTGCTCTATGGACGTGAGTTTTCTCGTGAGCTTTCTTGAGAGCGGCGTTTTCCCTAACACCTCTCTTCAGCAGCCCTCTCCAATTCCAGAAACCTTCCACACCATCCACTCTGGGGACCCAGTGCAGGAAGCAAGTGGCTGAAAGGAGAGATAGGTGCCTCCAGGGAGCAGCAAATGGTGAGGTCCAGCCTAGACACCATCTTGTCAGGAGGACACATTAGGCAAACTAATGCCTGGATGTGGTTGGCTATGACTTCCGTAGGACTGATCTGGAGCTAGAACACTAAACACAAACCCAGGGTATTTTCCAGATGAGAATGAAGGAGGGCCAAGACAACTGGCCAAAGTCACAAAGCTGGGAAGAGATAGCATCTGAACCCAGGACGTTTGACTCCTAAGTCACATTCTTTCCATGACAGAGCTGCACCTGCTGGAAAGTCAGTTGAGTCTCTGGTCCCCACCTCCTTTCCTGAGGGTGCTGGTGTTCCTCTCTCAATCACCACCACTCTGGAGAAAGCCACCACCCCCACCTCCGTCCATTAGCAGCTACCTTTCCTCAAGAAGGATGAGGTCAGAGCTGCACTCAGGCCCAAGGAGGATGAGGTCAGAGCATTGCTGGGTGGGGCAGATGCTAAATAATTCATGCTGCTGTTGTGAGTGGAGCTGCAGCTTCCTGGAGAGCCCAGCATGGAGACAGCAGACAGGAAACAAAGTCTGGTCCCTGGCTCCTGTGCTTGACCTTGGTGTGTCCTTTGGGAACTAGAGAAAGTGCTAGCCTAGGTGAGAAGGGGCTGGAGGGCTGACATGCCTCTCCCAGCAGTATTGCCATGAGCAAGCCACTAACCCTGTCCATTTCTTGCTCTCTTTTGAGTACCCAAAGCCAATGAGCAAGTGCTAAATCGCATAAGTAAGCAGGAAAGGTGGCCGAGCACTTCACAGGTCCTTCTGACCTGGGCAGGTATTGATTGCCCCCTGAGCCCAGCACCCCTTTCTGGGATCAGTAGTTCACCCAGTGGGCTGTCCTGGTTGCTTCCCCAGCCACAGCAGGTGGCAGCAGGGCTGCTATCAGGGCATCCTCTTTCCCCCATCCCCATCTCTTGTGTGGTGGTCACTGGTCTCTGGGCGTGGCTAGCCGAGAAGTCAGTGCCTTTAAGAAGCCTGATTTTCCTTCTTAGAGTCAGTCCCCAACCATGGAAATTAGTTGGAATCAAACAGCCTTTGCTGGTATAGAAGGCAAGTGGTCTGGGGGGAAGGGGGTATGGATAGATAGATGATAGACAGATAGACAGACTGCCAAAATAATTCCTCATGCACACACAGGAGCTCAGTAGCAGTAACCCCTCCCAAATGGAGAGTAGTCATTTAATTCTGAGCCATCAAGAAGTTGAAACAACACTGCTTCCAGCTACAGAATTTGACAGTGTGTGGGTATGAAATTTACAAGGACATTGGCCCAAGGACCCCATGAACTTGCACCAGGTTATGGCCTATCCAGTTTTCTGCTGTTCAAGGTTGTGTGTTTTCCAGGCACCAGTGGGTCAGGCATGTAATCCCAGCTACTCAGGAGGCAGAGATCAGGAGGATCATAGTTCGACACCAGCCTGGGCAATAGTGAGACCCTATCTCGAAAAAAACCATCATAAAAGTGGGGGATGGGGGGGCTGGTGGAGTGGCTTAAGATGTACCAAAAAAAAGACTGTGTATGACACATCTTGGCCACCTTAGAGAAGGCGCCTTTTTTCCTAATACCTATCTTCTCCACTTGGCTAGGACTGGAGGATGCAGGACCATGGGGTACTTCGAGGGTCCAGGTAGGCCTGCATCTTCTAGAAGCCAATCCCTCCCGAGCTTCGCCTGCCGTCTCCAGAGGACTCAGGCCAGTCACCCAGATCCATTGAAGCCTGCACCCCTGGTTACCTGTTGTTCCCAAGGATTCCTGAGATTGTTTCCTAGGACAGGAAGCTAGTGCCCTTGCTTGCTGTAAGGGATCTTGGGGCTGCTACCCTTGGTCAAAAGTATCCTGAGGTGCGTGAAGCCTCTTTCCGTTCAAGGGAAATATTAACCACAGATGGCATGGTTTTATGGAGACGTGAAGAGGTAAAGGCAGGGGTGTTACACTTGGGGTTACAGCCATCCTCTGCAGGGACTATTCACCCAGCTTAGAAAAACACTCCAGTGACAAAGGCACACAGGCTGCTGGGAACAGGAGGGTGGTACTGGAAGGCTGTGGGCTGACTACAGGATGCCCTCTCCCTTGATACCCAGCAGTGATCCTGGGCCGAGGGCTGAGCTCTAGGGTACTCTTGGGGAGGGCCCTGAGATGTGCTGTACCTAAGGGCAGCACAAAGGCAGGGAAGAGGATGCTGTGGCGATGTCCTGTGAATCTGGAGCTGTGCTCTTCTCTGTCCTTGGCGCCAGTAGGATGCAGATCCCAGAACGGCACCCTCTTCTCTGGGTGTCTGTCAGGACCCTCAGGATCGTTTCCAAGGCCAAGGACATTAGAGGCTCCTCCAGTGACAAAAGCAGCGCCAGCATGTTGAGATGCCCTAAGAGCATCGGCTGTCCGAGGTGAGGTAGAAACAAGACACCTGCCGTAGGGATCAGCATGATCTTAAGTTCTGGACTCCACTCACCTAAGGGGCCTTCCCACATCCCACAAGTCTGGCCCAGGAGAGGCTACACCCAACTCCCCTAGTTCCTGAGAATGCAGCAGCCCTGCCCCCACTGTGTTTCTTTCCTAAAGGAGCTCCCAGCAGGTTCCCACTGCACACTCAGAACCTGTGAGATGTAGGTAATTCAGGGCATCTACACCTGAACCTGTCCCAGCAGCCACCTTGTGAACTGGCTGGGGTGAAACCAAATGCAGAGAGAAGAGGCCAGGGACAATGACTGAGGCACATAAATGGTGCCAAGCCACAAATGTCATGGTGGTCTTCCAACTTCCCAACTCATGGTGGGGCTCTCTGGGAGAAAGCACTGGACCATGAGAGCTTCCCTGGTTGGGACCAGTGTTGTAGTCCCTGTCCCTGTTGGTGGGGGGGCAGTTGGAAGCAAAGAATATGCAGGTGGTGGGACCCAGTTCACTGAAAGTAGGGAAGGCTCAGTCGGGCACATGGTGCAAAGGGGCTGGGATCCAGGACCCATAAGCTGTGAAGAGAAACAGCGCCTGGCCAGGCTGAGCTGTGTCCCAGCCCAATGCCCTTTTAGGTCCAAATGGTAGCAGAATGCCTTGGGAGAAGGGCAAGAGACAACCAGACTCATGGAGGCGATTCACCTAAGCAGAGTGGGACAAGATGATAAGATACCAAGCAGAATGGTTTGACCAGGCCAGGAAAATCCAGTGTCAAGCCAAGGGCACCTGAGGCCTGATGTTCACAGCAAGACGATGGTCATCTGAGGAACCACAGCACAGGAACACAGGGAGGTGTCAAGGGAAGAGATAGGAGTCTGCTCCTTGCAGCTGTAGTCACTTAGGGACCAGGAGGCTGAGTTGGGCAGAAAGGGAGGTGGCCCTAAGACCCCCCCAGTCACATGCCTCAGGCCTTCTCAGGACCTCCACTCAGTCTACTGCTTCAGAATGTGACCTCTGGTCCCTCCTATCTCCAAGGACAAGAGCAGGAAAGTGCTGAGCCCTTGAGAACAGAGGAATAAGGACGTCAGGGTGCCATGCAGTCCAGGGAAGAGGGCGTCTACCATCTTGTTTTATTTTGCGGGGACTGAGCCTAAAGTAACCAGAAAGAACAAGAGTCAATGAGGAAGGGACCCTGATGCACAAGTACTGGTGATGTAGTATATAAAAAATAAATAAATATTTTGGTCCCTGGGGGCAAGTGCAATCTGAACATTGAAGGAAAAGTTTGGAAGAAGTTTTATTTTGCTTCCGGCAATCTTTCTCTCCCTTTCGACAAAAACATTTTTTCCCCTACAACTGGTGTCAGAAAATAGCTTCTAGCTAGTTGGGGACAAACATTCCCAAGACTGGGACAAGCAGGCTCCCCAGCCCCCTTGAAAAGCGTGGAGCCAGTGTCCAAGGGTCGGGACACTGCAGCCTCATCCACATGGCTGAGAGGCAGCTCACAGCCCAGGCCACCAGAACCCACTCGCCTGCCCTGAGCGGGTCAAGGAGAAAGGTCACTATATTCTAGTCTCAAGAAAACGTGGATCGTCTTGGTCCCACATCTGGAGGCACCCACAGTGTAAGCAACTCTGGTTCTCTCTGAGCCCTTCCACCCACATACTGCACAGGTGATCTCAGAGCGTGGAGCAGAATGATTCTCCACCTCACCCCTTAAGGGACCTTAACGCCCTTCCTCCCAGGAGGAGGACTGAAGAGTAGCTGATCCCTTTTGCCTCCAGAACTGCCTGCTGGTGGGTCTGCCTTCCCTATTCTGTCTGTCCCCAAATATAGACAATGGAGAGGGATCCCAGAGGAAGACTGCCCAGGGTTAACACAAGCCCAGATGTGGGGCTACATCCCAGGCACAAGCCGAGTGCAGTTGTTCATTCTGACCACACTGGATGTGACCTGAGGTTGTACTACAGAACCCTGCCCGGGGTGGAGGTGTCCACTCCTTAAGGTAGGAGACCCCAGCAGCTTGCACTGTGAACTGAATGTGAGGGAAGGGAGGAAGAGCCACCCAGCCAGCCACTGCCATGGAGGAGTGAGAGGGTCACCGGAGGCAGAGAGCCCCAGCAGAAACCACAAGCTCAAGTGTGAGTTAATAAAGCAGAAATATGTTTATTAGGCACCCTTGATCCTCACAGAGGAACAAGATCCAAGCCTACAGTGCCCACTCTGAGATCTCTTGAGGTTGCGTGAATCTCCAGAGAATATAGGCACGGACCGGCCACCACCCCAAGAAGAACACTATTTGGCTGGAGCAGGAGGTGGCTCTGGCATGAAGCCAGGCTGGCTCCTGGACTCCACAAACACTGAGGAGAGGGTGGGGGCCTCCAGGACCCTCATCCAAACATTGGCATATGGGGGACCTCATGGCTCTGAGGCACAAGCTGCCCTGAGCCAACGAAGGGAGCCACAGAGCACAGGGTCCCTGGGATGTCCCATGCCTAGGCTGGGTCCCAAGGTAAAATCCCCAAATCTGCCTGCTTTCTCCTGGCAACGGTCATCTCCTCAGTCCCACACGTAAGGGTTTCTAAAGACCTGAGAGTTCTTGCCGTCTTTCTGAGATGTGGCCGCCTGGTGGCTCTGGGCCACATACATGTCTTCAGCCCGCAGGGTCGAGTTGGCACTGCCCATCACCTGGCTGTTGGCGGTAGCCCGTGGGAGGATGACGTCGTAAGAGCCTTCGGACTGGAAGGAAGAACAGGCGGTCTCACAGTTGGGGGATCAGGAGCCGGGTTCCGCCAGGCGGATGCACAAACACTCTGCTTCCTGAAGGCCTCTGCCTGCCAGCTCCCTCTCCTTGTCCCCTCCGCCCCTACTCTGCCAGGCCTCAGCCTGGGGTGGAAAACTCCACCTCTGGAAACAGAGGACTGGTCTGGAGCCCCCACTTCACCCTGCATGTGGACGTGGGAACAAGGCCCTTGGCCACCTTGGTGCTTCCCAGAAGAGGACCCTTTTTTCCTTCAAGCCCCCTCCTGCTTCCAGTTCCATAGGTCCAATGTGGGGGTGAGATGCACTGAGATGTTATTAGCTGGCTGGTGATGATTCCAGGTTCCCTTCTTCTATGAATCTTTTTTTTTTTTTTTTTTTTTGTCAGTACTGGGGTTTGAACTCAGGGCCTACATCTTGAGCCACTCTACCAGCCCTTCTTTTGTGATGGTTTCTTTCTCAAGATAGGGTCATGAGACTACTTGTCCAGCCTGATTTCCAACCAGGATCCTTTTATCTATACCTCCCGAGTAGCTAGGATTACAGGCCTGAGCCACCAGTGTCCAGCTTTCTCCACAAATCTTTCCTGAGACCCCCAATGTCACTACAACACCAGGTACCTTTCTGTTAGGCTGTGGGCATGCCCACACAACTCTGATCTAGGAGTCTGGGCAGGCCAGTCTAATTTGGAGACTAAAATCCCAAATGCTTTGCCTAGAGCCTGCAGCTGCAGCTGGGCCCGCCAGCTCTGGGAAAGGGTTCTAAGGCAGCCAGCTCCCACCTGGTGAACTCCACGCCCCCTCATGCCTTATCCCAATGGAAAAGAGCTGCCCCTAAGCTTGTATTCCAAACCACTCTTTGTCTAACTAGACTCAGGTGGTGTTCCCACTGCCCGCTACTCACCTACATTGGTGGCCTCAAACCTGGGAAAGCACACCAGACTATTTGTTAGGCCACACCCCTGGGAGTTGTCCCCTACCCAGAAGGGAGCTGGTAAATGTTTAACAAGTGGGATAGGAGGAAAAAGTCCTGGATGTTTGTAGATCTGCCTTGGGGAGCTACTCTCTTCAAGGTGGAACCCAGGCTACCCAGGTGATGTCAACTATTATACCCCAGCCAACAAAGTTCCCAGTTCTGCTGGTCTGGAGACCACATTTTGAGAACCAGGCACAGAAAGTATCTCAGCTAGTCCAGATCATCCTCAAAAGACTCTGAGGAGGAACAGTGGGGTAGCCATGTGGGGGCATCTTCTAAGGAAGGGTTCTGTGGCTGAGTGGACCTCTGCTTGGGGTCTGATGCAAACCCCAACCTACCACAGCTCCTGGCTACGGCCTGCTCTCCCCAGCCTGGCCTCATGTTCAGGCTGAGGAAGAGGGCAAGAGCTAGGGTTGGAAGTTTCAGACACAAGAAGCCATCCCTTATACTGCCCCACCACCACGGTGGGAGGGAGGGAGGGAGGGGATGAAAACAGCCCCCTGCTGACCTTCTGGCTTCCTGTTCCCAGCGTCCTGCCAAGCCTGGTTGCTGACCTCTCCTGCAGCCACTGCCAGCCAGGAGCAGGAACATATATGGAGTGGGAATTCTTGTTCCCAGCAACCCCTTGGCTAATGGAGCATCTAGCTTCCAGAGCCCAAGGGAGGTGGAAGGTCAAGACTTGCTGCCTACTGGCAGGGGGAGGGGAGTCAGAGGCCCTCTTGGGATAGCTGTGGTTGAGAATTACCTATCCAGACCTACAACATATGGTCCCCTATTACTTTTGGGAGTACCTAGCTGAGATCTTCCTTTGTCCCATTTCAAGCTCTTCAGAGTAAGCCTGGCAGCTGCCACCAGCTAAACAGGACCTGGTCCTATATTTTCTATAGCAGCAGGCTGCAGGCTGTGAGTGATGCAAAGAGACCCAGGGCAGGTTCCACTGAGTGTGTGCCGAGGAGGTGCTGTGTCAACTCCAGGCAAAGGGTGGGAAGAACTGGGACTCAGGGTTTGCAGGGCACATGCCCTAGATGGGAAGCCTGCATTCCCCACCACCTACATCCAACCCTGCATCAGCCATGGTCACAAGAATCCTAGGAACCCACTCACCGGGACTTTGTGCATCAGAGCCATCTCAGTGGGCTGGTATACACTGGTCAGCAGCTGCCCGTTGTAGCCACTGTAAGGTGACACTGGTCTCTTAGCTGCAAGGAAAAACAGGCACAATTTGAGGATCCCTAGACTCTCGGCCTCCTTTCCCATGTCCCATAACCCAAGCAACACTCTCCTGGGGGCAGGGAAGAAGGAAGAGGGGACCTACTGGCACTGGTGTAACACCTAACTCAGAAGTGGTCAACTTGGGAGCGAGGTTATGGGCATGAGGCCCCCCCCAACCAGGCCCAGTGTCCCTTTTCTACAGATACACAAAAAATACAACGCAGCTTGGTTCCCTGTGGTATGGGGGACCTCCCCCATTCCCTCTCCCCCAAGAGCTCAGAAAAATGCCCTGTCAGCTATCTTCACATCCCCATCCGCCCTCAGGGCCAGAGGCCAAGAGGGGCACATGGGCCTTCGGCTGCCTTCCAATATGGCCAGCCTCCAACTCCAGCCTCTACCGCTGTGGGCAGGCTGCCAGGTGCTAGGGGAAATACAGCTGAGACCCCTCAGTCCAAGTCTTCATGTTCTCACAGGGCAGGTACTGGCTACTGATGTCCCTCCACGCCACACCAACCAAGGGCCTGGCCAGGGAGGCCTCTGGCAGGTTTCCAGAACTATCTGCAGCTCCAGGAATATTTCTGGGTGTTGGTTTCACTGAGCTGTTCCACCCTGCCGGGCACCTTGGGTGTTTAAGGAAAGCTGCTGACCAAACCCCAGGGTCCAATAGCAGGTCTCACTGTGAGGGTGCGCAGCCCAGGGCTTTGTCTGTCTCCTGCAGGCAGACATTACAGCCTACATAGGGCTTCTAAGTGCTGGGTTCACTTTATTGATTTTTTTCCATTTAGGAAAAAAAAAAAACCTCACAGCCCAGAAGTGTTACCATGAGAGGACAAAGGCTGAGATCTGTCCTGACAAACAGGCACAGGGTAGGAGCAGAGGTGGGAGCAGGGCTGTGAAGCAACTCCCAATGCCTGCCCTCTCAGTGTGTGTGCCCAGGGCCAGTGGAGGCAGTGGTCAGCCCGCAGTGGGTGGATCACAGATGAGTGCCCAGCAGGACAAGGGTCATTCCTTTCCCCAAAGCAGGAGTTCTGAGGATTTCCCAGTGTGAACAGAAGAGATAGGGTTCTCTCTGTTTCTGTGACCTTCACTGCCTCCAACTCTGACCTCCCAGCAGAGGGTCCCAGATCCAGTGCATGATAACCAGGTGGTTAAAGTCTCACCCCCAAGATTTTTTATTTTTATTTATTTATTTATTTATTTATTTATTTATGGTGGTTAAAGTCTCACCCCCAAGATTTTTTATTTTTATTTATTTATTTATTTATTTATTTATTTATTTATTTATTTGTATGTAGTGACAAGGTCTCCCTGTGTAGCCTAGGCTGGCCTCCAACTTGTGATCCTTCTTCCTCAGCCTCTCTAGTGCTGGAATTACAAGGCATGTCACACCATGCCCAGCCCAACTTTTTCTTCCTTTTTTTGAGGTAGAGGGTTGGATGCTGTTTACCTTCTTTCTTCGTCATTCCTGAACTTAATTTCTATGTTTTTTTTTTTCTTTTCTTTTTGGAAAAAGGGTCTCTCTATGTAGCCCAGACTGGCCTCGAACTCAAATTCTCCTGCTTCAGTCTCCTAAATGCTGGGATTACAGGTGTGATCCAAGCATCTTAATCAGCACACAGAACCTGGGGTCAGGGCAGGGTTGTGTGTCTGTGCCTCCAGCATCCCAGGTCATGTCAGAAGGGGCTGCAGCCAGCAGGCTAAGAGTTACGAGAGGCACACATCAGGGGTTTAGCACAGGACTTGGTACACAATAGATGCTCAATAAATGCTAGTGGTCCTTACAGTTAACAAATCTATTGAGATTACTACATAACACAATAAGAGCTTTTTTGTGTGCGTGTGTGTGTGTGTGCTGCTGGAGATGAACCCAGGGCCTCCCACATTAGGCAAACACTCTGCCACTGAGCTACACGCTCAGCCTCTGAATTTAAACTGCAGAGAACCTCAATTTTGCTTGAGACCAGCTCCCTGCGCTGCAGTAAAAGATGTAGGCTAAAGGACGGCGACACGAGAGTGTCTTCAACACTCACCTGAGTTTGGCTCGTCCATGGAAAATGCCTTGTTTTCCACAAACATGCTTTGGCCTGTCTGCTCTTTCAGGATGGTCTCATAGCCCACACCCCGGGTCGGGTACATGTCCCCCTGGTAGCTCTGCTCTGGGCTAGGCTTAGTCACCTGGGAGACCTCGGGGATGACATAGAAGAGGACAAAAGCCCAGGCATTGGCGGCAAGGGCAATGGCCAGTGTGGGGTCATCCCAGGTGGGGCTGTTGTGTTGCTTATTGCCGTAGGTGTACATGACAATCCATACGACCCAAATGGCAATGGAGGTGGCTGTGATGAGCAGCACAAAGACCCCGTGCTTACGCCAGCGCTTAAAGCGACCACACAGGGCGGGCCAGGCCCCCATGAAGGCCCCCAGCAGCAGAAGCATCACATAGATGAGTGCCATGACGAAGTCCATGTTGGCGATAGCACAGGGGGAGGCCACGGTCCAGTCGGCACTGCCATTGCCCAGAGAGCCAACCTCACCTCCTGCCCGTACCAGTGTGATAATCAGCCACTCGGTGTTGATGATGACCTCCACGAGAGTCAGCAGCAGAGCCACGGTGAAGATCACCCAGCCCTGGGGTCCATGGTTCTTCCGGGCTAGGAAGTTGAGGGCAAAGACATGGGCCACCAGGCAGGAGAAGCAGATGGCAAACAGGACCCCAAAGAGGAAGCGCCGAGAGGCGCAGGTGGCGAAGTCGGGCTTCACCACGCAGGCAAACACCAGGCAGAAGAGGCCCAGGGTGCCCAGAAGGAAGAACACCTGAGTTCCCAGCAGACTCCGCTTCTTGGTGTCCTGCACAAAGGGGAGGCTGGCAACGAGGATGATGGTGAGCACAAAGGTGGTGATGATGCCTGCCCCAGCCACTGCCTCCAAGACGATGCCCCAAGCCCCAGAGCGGTCACACAAGTTGTAGTAGAGGGGGTTGAGGTCTGGGCTGCAGCCAGGTGGAGCATGGTTCTGGGCCTGACCCCCTGGGAACAGGAAGAGAGGCAGTCCCAGGCACATCAGCAAGGCTTTGTGTGTGGCCATCCTGGCTCCCAGGCCAGGTTCCAGCTGGGTCCCTAGGGACAGAAGGAGAAAGGACAAAATCAGTCCTCCAAGGCCAGACTCCAACATGCATGATACTGCACCCCCCATGCTGAAGCAGGGCAGACGGTGCTAGTAGATCATGGGACTGTCCCTCTGGCCTTCTGAATCCTTCTTAACACTCACAAAGGTGTATCAGGTAACCAAAGATGAAGCCCACGGGTCATTCCAATTTCTAACCAAGAAAAAGAAGGAAACTCACTGAATTTTCAGTTCCCTCCCTTCCACTCATCAAAATCTGGGTTCAAATATTCCCTGAGCTCTTGAAGCTGAGGGGTTAGGGTTTGTGAATGACTGAGAACCAAGCCTATCACCTATTCAGCACTTCCTGTCTGTCCTGGGACTTCCAGGGTCCAGCTTAGATACTATGACCCTAAACTCTGTCCCAGGAATACTCAAGTCCATGGCTAGTCTGCATTCCCACATTCAATCATTTACCACTCAACAATTACTTCACAAGCACTTAGTAAGAATTTAGCAAGCACCAGCAGCAGGCATGCTCTGCAGCCAGGAAAGAAAAAAAAAGTTGAAAAGTTGTGTTTTATCAACCCTTCCTCATTCTTCCCACTTCTTTTTTGCCTATTTCCCCACTTTTTGTGCCACTTTCCTCTTCATAATCCAGAGCTCTTTGTCTAACTCAGATGCTTAAGTCAAAGATAAAATAAACTAATTCCCCTCCTAAGGAGTTAATGACTTAATGCAAAAATTCTCTTATGAGACATTAACATTTTAAAAGCAAGAACCAGGCAAGGGCGATGCAAAACCCAAAGGGATTAATCTTTAATGGAAGACACTGTAGCCAGAAGGGAAGAACTGTATCTTTTATTAACACCAGGGAAGTAACTTATAACTCCATCTGCTCATTGTAGCTCTACCAAATGCTACAGATCTGTGCCAAAGAAAAAAAAATCCAAACCGTCCCAAAATCCAAACCAATTGGATTTTCCTTGGTTGAAGAGGAGGTAAGGAATGCCGCGGAATTAAGAGAAATCTGTGAACACCGAATCTGAGGGGCAGGTGGGTAGCTCAGAGGTAGAGCACTTGCCTAGTGTGTGTATGGCCCTGAATTCTATCCCTAGCACTGGGGAAAAAAAAGATCAAATCTGTGCCTTCCAATTAAAAATTTTAAATTTACTTGGAGACCTCACAGAGAAAATTTAAATACTCTAAAAAGCAAATTTTAAGGTTCAGAATTCCATGAAAATTCAGGTCATCCACATTAATTCTACCCTAGATGTTCAAATAACCACTTGTAGCCTTTCTTTTCTTGCCTTACCAGGAAGAAGGCTCCAGAAAGACAGCAACCAAGCTCTCCTGGGCTGATAGCAACCACTAGTGGCTGACAGAGGAGTGGCATTTCAATTTGTCTTCCCCATCACCTTTTTTCCTTTCTACCACTCTTCCAGGTCCTGAGATTTGAACTCAGAGCCTTGTTGCTTGCCAGGCATGTGCTTTACCACTTGAGCCATGCCCCCAACCCTTCTTGCTTTGGTTTTTCGAGTAGTGTGTCACTCTTATGGGGGGCGCATAGACCACAAACCTTGCTTGGAGGACAATCGTGTGCCACCATGTCTGGTTTTTATTGGTTGATACAGGGTCTTGAGAACCTGAACTTCGGTCTTCCCAATCTTACCTCCCAAGTAGTAAGAATTACAGGCTTGAGCCACCACACCCAGTGATGGCTACTTAATTGACAATAAGTAACAAAAATTCTAGATCTCAGTGAATAGAAATTGTGTCTCCATAACTGATAAATGGAAGGACACTTAGCTAAATCAGAGGGAATGAAACTCACAAAATTAAGTGAAACTGACATAATACAGGTGATACATTTTCAAATTTTCTTAACCCTTGGAAATATTTTAGTTGTCTTAAGCCATCTCAGCCATCCCTCAGTCTACCATAAACACTTTTTTTTGGTAGTTCTAGGGTTGAGTTAGGATAGTTTTTTGTTTGTTTGTTTTTGTTTTTTTGGTGGGATTGGGGTTTGAACTCAGGGCTTCACACAGGGGCTCTACCACTTGAGACACACCTTCCCCCATTTAACTCTTACAATGAACATTCTTATGTAAATTTACCATTGCTTTCCAAAGTAAAGGCTAGTTTCGCTTCACTTCTAATGAAAAAACTCCTTTCACCTACACTAAACCTTAAGCTAATGATATTGCTGGGAAGAGAAAGACAATGGGAGCTAATGGGTAGGGAGTAATAGGAACCTTCCAGGAGATAATTTATGGTAACAACCCAGCTGTGGGATCCTAAATGCTCAAACTCCATCTTGGGGGTTTTGGCCCAATGGTTGAACCAAGCAGAACTTGGGGTGCAGTTAGAAAGGTGGAACTGAACACTGAGAACGGCCAAGAGGCATCTGTACCTGCTCATCCTACCTCCCTGGGCCAGGTCCCAGTTTAGAACAGGCAACTGTTTAAGCAAGTATTTACTATGCATCTATCCAGTGGGACAAGGCCCTGTTGCTCTGAGCTATGGAAAATACAAAGATGAGCAAACACAGCTCCTGGCTTGATGCTATTTAAAATGTAATGGGAGAGATAAGGTAGGTATACAAAGAATTACACTAGGAAGAATATGTGACGTAGGACGGAATTTACCTATACAAGAGAGGTACTCCAGGAGCACTGAAGAGGAACAGGACAGAAGAGAGAGGAAGAGCGAGAGACTTATAGAGCATTTTATTGGAGCCTGGGCATGTGGCTCAGTGGAATAACACTTGCCTAGCATATACAAGGTCTTGGGTTTGATCTCCAGTATTTAACAAAAAAGCCCTGAGAATGCTAATAATAAATAAATAAATCAATAAATAATGCACCATGACTCAGACACTGTCATAAGAGAGAGGAGAAAAAAAGATAAGCCTTGAAATGGGAGGTAGGGATTGAGCAAGGGAAGGGGTAAGTAACAGCAGAGAAACGATGACATAAGTCAACACCCTAAGATCAGCCCAAGTTCAGAGCAAGAGAAAAAACCTCACCAAGTAAGAAGGAGACTTGTATAGCAAGGCTGCAGCTGGTTAGTGACAGATCAAAAATGCTTAGGGTAGGAGCCTGGGGACTTAGTCTCGAGAGGCAGTGGGGAGCCACTGGAGGGGACACCACCAGGCTGTGCTTTAAGAGGTGACTCTGGCAAAAAAAACACAATCAATATGTTGGAGCGATGTTCATCCCAGTTTACAGATCAAGCCAAAGGTAAAACCGTAATGGGCAGGTCTGAGAGATACTTACCAAAAATACAAAACAAAGCAAAAAACAGCCTAAGGACTGTAGGGAGAAAGGATATGCCAAAGATGATACTACAGGTTCACATCTGGAAACACTTACGTCATTACAAAAAAACCAAACCAGGGCAGGAGTGTTTCTTAGTGGCAGAACGCTTGCCTAGCAAGTGTGAGGCCTTGGGTTCCATGTCCAGCACAGAGAAAGGAGGAGGAGGAAAGAAGGAAAAGAGGAGGGAAAGAGGAGGAAAAGAGAAGAAAAAAAGAGACAGGAGATAGGAAGGAGGGAGAGGAGGGAGAGAAGGGAAGGAAGGAAGGAAGGAAGGAAGGAAGGAAGGAAGGAAGGAAGGAAGGAAGGAAGGAAGGAAGGAAAGAAAGAAAGGCTGGCGCATCTGCTCTCTTGCTGGCCTCTAGCACTCCACAGTTACTTGTGCCAGGGTCAGGGAATATTACAGCCCACCCTCCCATTTCCTCCTGACTTTGTGACCAACTTCCTTCTGGACCTCACCCTTCTCCTGCCAAACCCCTCCATGTGGGAACTTTTAAGGATTCAACCAGAAGTCTGCCACTCCAGCACATACAATGCTGCTGCCCAGCTGCCCTAAAATTTACTAGCTTCAGGTGAAGCAACCTGTTCCCGTCCTGAAATGTCTTATTTCTCTGCCCACCGCTCCAAAAAAAAAAAAAAATAGAAGGGCAGGTCGAGAGACAGAAATAGACTCAGGTGGGAAAATTGGGCTAGCTGGGCCTAACTCTTGTCCCCTGCCCAGAACGGGCTCTTGCAGGCCAGCAGTAGAGTTTGAGAGAACAAAGCTCAGAAGAGCTCATCTCTAACCCTGTGACACCCAGGAATGCATATTCAGACGGTCAGCAGAGGCTGCTTTTTAAGATGGTAGGCACCAATGTGAGAGACCCAGCTCTGCCCAGATGCTCTTCCTCAGGGCCCTGGCACACCTTTCTGCCTTCTGTGGGGCCTTAGATCCTGCACTCAGTCTGAGCCTCTGGAAGCCTCTGAATACGCTAAGCATGTGTACCTGCCTCCCTTACCAGGCTGTAAGTCTTTGAGGCCAGTAAACAAGACAGTTCCTCTGTAGCTTCTGTCTGGGCCTTGAACCCAGCAGGCATTGGACAATTATCCTTCTCTGTTCATTCCTGCCTCCTTCACTTTGAGTCACATCTACTTAAAGATTTTCTAGCGGGATTCCAGGAGGGAGTGGGAGAGGGGCCTCCAGCAGCCCACAGCTGATGTCTGGCTTCAGATCACTTTCTGGATAAAAGGCCCCTTTGCTTCACCTCGCTGATCAGTCATACAAATATTTTTAATCACCTCTGAAATCAGCCTTTCCAGAGGCTCAGCCACCTAGCCCACAGCTCTGGTCTGAGTCAGTCCAATCCAGTTCCCAAATCCCCTTCCTTCCCTGTCCCTTTCCAGGTGGAACAGAGAAGCTGAGGCAGTGCTGGTGGGCCTAGCCCTGACTGATTCCATACAACAGGTGAGGAACCCAGACCTTCTCATCTTTCCAGAACACCCCTTTCATCACCCCTATCATCTGAATGAAAGCCTGAGGACCCCCACCAGCCCCCGACCCAGGGTGAAGGATACAGTGCTGAAAAAGAAGCTCTGTGAACTTCAGAAGGCAGCCCTGGTGGGTCTCCCAGGCTCAAAGGTACAAGAGTGAGACTATTGAATGCCTTGACTGTTTAGAGCCCCTCTGTGCGCCCAGATGCTCAGCCAGGGATACCACCTTCCTCCCTGGCTGCCCCCATTCAGCAGCCAACCTCAAAAGATGGATTGATTCGGGCCAGCTTTCCTCTCTCCTTCCATTCTCCCACCCATCTCCTTTCTCTCTAGTCCCTGACTAGGTCCTATTGTGTAAGCCCTAGGTCCAGGTGGGTGATGTTTAAACGACCTGATAAGACGGGGCTTGGGAGACACCTGTGCCTGAAAGGGGCCGCCTCAGTCTTCTGTGCCCTACCCCCCCCTCCTTACTTTAGCAAGACTGGGCATTTCGGCCAAAATGTCTTAAGCATGCTGAAACTCAGAAGTCTTCAATACAAGCAAGGGTCTGCTCTGGAATGTCACTCTGGAATGTGCCCCACCCCCTACCCAATAGCATTCCCTCCCCAGCCACATTTGAAGGCACATTGTTGGGGGTGGAAGGAAGCTACAGGCGCACAAAACCATACTTCTAAAAATTCTGGTTCCCATGTTTTAGGATCAAGATCGTGGGGTTGTAAGCGATTAGATCTTCCTGGATGTAAAACCGTGGGTGTGGGGTGGGAATGGAAAAGGCGCTGAAAAAAGCCAGAGGGGATGGGGGTGGATCTATAAGTCAGACTACCAGAGGTAGAGGCGCGTTGAGAGTCTGAAATTCCAAACTTCCCGCAGGGAGATTCCGAACTCTCCCCTCCCCACTCCTGCCCCGCTACTAGGGTCTACACCCACGCGCCCCTGGAAGTCTTAACAGAAACAGCAGGTTAGCCAGCTTCTCTTCCTTCCATTCCTCTGGCCACAGAACCTGCCCCCTCTCCACCCACAGCACCGGGCAGCAGAGACTCCACAGACCCACTCGCAAAGAGAGGCCAGGGGTGGAGGAGCGCTCCTTGGACACTCAGATCGTGGAGTCCTTTCTCCACCCTCCTCCCTCTACCCTCAGCCGCAACGCCGGGTTCCCCTCACCCCTAGTCCCCAGATGGCTCGGGTTTGGAAACTTTATGCGACCGAGCGGAGTTGGCGTGGCGGACCCGCCTCCCGAGTCTCACCCTGGGCCTCTGCGCTCGCCCGCACCCGGCCAGCCGGACCCGGCTCTTCCGGGCGGCCGAGGGGAGGACGGAGCGCGAAGGCAGCAGCCCTTACCTGGGACGCGCCGCCAGCCCCACTCCCGCACCGCGTTTGGGGCCAACTCCAGCCGCAGGCGGAGCACGGCGGGGGTGGGAGGGACTCCACGCAGGGCTCAGGGCCAGGCCCAGCCCTGCCTGGGGTGGCGGGGCCCGGGCGCGGGATGCAATGCACAGGGCCTGCCTCCCCGGGACCCGGGGCTGAGCGGGACGCGCTGGGTTCTTCGCTCTGGCACTGGCCTCTCCCCACGCTCAGCTCCTTTCTCTCGGCCAGGTTGGGCCGGGCTGCATCACCGTGACATCACCTCCATTCAGGACGTTTATCGGGCGCCAGCAGCGCTCCAGGTACGTGCAATCCATTTACACAGTAACAAAGCCCGTCCGGCCCTCCCCCCTCGGACTCACCTACAGGTTCGGCTGAGTCGCACTTTCCGGCTGGGAAGGGAGATCAGAGTTTCTGGCCAAGCTGGCGAGTGGGTTGTTGCTGTTTACTGCCACGCCCCCGCACGCGGGCGCGCGCGCACTCACGCGCACTCACTCTCTGGACTCGGCTTTCTCTCTGGAAAGTGGTTTGGGGTGCAGCCCAGCACGCCCCCCGGGCAGACTGTCCCTCCTCGCATTTCCCAGTGCGCGCGCGCACGCCGACAGGCGTGGAGCTATCTTGGCGCGTCTGTCGGAGGCGGACACTCAGCCTTTGTCACCTTCGTCCTGGCTCTCTCCTGAGACACAAGCCCGGCGCAGTTCGCTGCTCTGGGCTGGAGAGAGGCGCACACTCAAGTCCGTCTTTGTCACGCCTTCTGCGCCCCCTCCCCTCTCGAGCTTGCACACGTGGACACTAAACACCGAGCGACCAACTCACGCGTGCGGCCCTTCCGCGAGGACCCAGTCACCGAGATTACGTCGGAGTGCCACCGCGCACGCCCTTAACCCCGTGGGCCTAGTCCAGAACCACTGCGAACCATGGGCAAATGTCCCCTGGGCCCCACTACCCCGCGCTCGAGTTTCCCGCGACCGCTCTAGACGCTGCCCAGCCGGGAGCGTGCGCTCTCATCCCGGTTCCCTGTTCGGACCTGTTCTAATTAGCCTTCACAGTTTGTTCCCCGAGGTACAGAGTTTAGCACGGCCCCCGCCGTCTCCACTCTCGGGGCCACATTGGGCCTTGAGTCGAATCCTGCCCCTCCCGCGGCCGGGGGAAACCTTTCCATAAATTCGGGTTTCACTGCGCCCCACCCCCACACCTTCCCCGGGGTGGATCAGCGGGTTGCCACCCTTTTCCCTTCGGTCCCAAGAATCTGCTGAAAGGGAACCGCAGGAATAGGAAAGTGAATCCCAGCTGGGGCCTCTTCCAGCTCAGTAAACAAGAGATTTTTCCGGCCGCCTTCCCCTGGGGCCGCGGGCCGGGTGGGAGATGGGCTGAGCTGCGCCCCGGGGCCGGGTGCGGGGCCTGGTTGGCTTGCGCGGGAGGCCCAGAGGGGCCGAAGCGCTCTAGGAAGGGGGAGGTTGTTGGGCCTAGGCTGGGTTCCTGGGGACGCGGGGGGAGGGCAGGGCGCCGGTCTCGGGGTGCCGGTTCTCGTGACGCCGAGTTGCCTGGGGGATCGCCAGCAGCGCGCGGTCGGAGCCAGCCGGTGGCTGGGCAGGCTGCCGGGCGTGTTTGCTCAACCCTGAGCGCCCGCGAGGGGGAGGGGAGACAGCTGGTCGTGGGCTAGGGGGTAGCCAGGTGGGGGCAGGCAGGCAGGGAGAGGGGAGGGGTATCTCCCGGCTGTGTGTTTGCGTGCCTTGGTCTATGACAACCGGGAGTCTAAGCTCAATGAATCACTCGGAGTTGCCGGAGCGATAAACCTCAGGCCGGTTCCTCCCCTCGCACACTGGCCTTTCTGACTCTAGGAGGGAATGTTTGCTTAGCGGCGGGGCCCTGGCTCTTTAGAACCCTGAGTTCCTTCCTGTGCTTTGCACTTGCTGCTGCGGAGCAGTGCGTTACTCCTCCTCTAAGTCTGCCTCCTACCCCCAGATTCCGGGACCCAATGCTCAGGTGGCAAGCGATTGAATGGAACGGGCAATTGGGTGCCCACACTGGCCGGGCAAAAGCAAATAGAGGGTCAGACCTAAGTGACCAGGACAGGTCGCTGCCACCTCTAATTGCTTTTCATTAACCTGGCAATTACTCCTTCAGTTCTCTGGGAGGGGTCGCTCATTAGCATATGTGAACAGCCAGCTATGAGAGCCAGGGGACAGTGTAACAGGAAAAGTCTGGGCAACTGGAAGACACATGACCCTGGGAGCCAGAGATGAATCTTGGATCCTGGAAAATGGCCTCAATTTGCCTTCCAGTTTGGGGAACCTGTTCTCCCTATTTAGATCCTCCAATATCACAACTCTCCTCTCTTGCCTCTGAGCCTGGCCAGGGGAAGGGCTGATGTGTCTGGTGCCTGGTCACCCACTGGGAAACATTTGGATAAGGGCTGAGCTGTTTCCTCAGCCAGCCCTGCCAGGCACCTGACAGTGGGAAGGTAGGACAGTGTCTGAGGACTGTTTGCCCTTCCCTGTTCACTCCCCCATTCCCTCCACTCCCGCCCCTTCTGAAACAAGATCTGCCTTCAAAGGACAAAGCAAGGCCCTCCACAGATGACCTGGGCCTCTGGGCCATCAGATTCCTGTCATACCCTCCTTTAGTCCCCATGACTTGTACTGGGCAGGTTGAGGAGGTTGGAGTTGGGGAACCTCTTCCTCTCCCTCCCCCCACACTCTAGGTGCTTGGGTTCCTGCTGGCAGGCAGAGTAACACTACCTTTATTCACTTGCCCCTTTGAGCTGTCAGAGTGCCCTCAATCCCAGACTCTGAGAAGTCTAAGGTGCTAACTAACAAGGCCCTGGAGTGTCATCTGCCAGATGTGTGACCTGGCGAGTCTCTGAACGTTACTTGTCTCTACTGTAAAATGAATGATAACACCAAAGGTAGCAGGTCAGAGATGGTCAGTGGCCAGCCTCTCCTTCCCCCTCTGACTGTCCAGCCCCACTGAGCCTTAGGCCTTTCAGCTAAAACCTTTGAATGCTCACTCTTGTAGAAGTTGCTTCTCCAATATTCTTTCAATTCTATTTCATCATCACCAGGAGAAGTTTGCCACGCTGGACTTTAGGCTCTTACCTGTGCTAGTCTTTCTGCCTGTAATGACCTGTCTCCACCCTGCCTCCTGTCTCTTATTTGGCCAAAAACTTTTAAATCTGCCCTGCCTCCATGCCCCTTCCTCTGCGAAACCTTCCTCACTTTCCCCAGAAAGAACTTTCATGAGTTGACCTGTTTACCCATACCTCACTATGCATTCATTTGTTTATTTATCCCAGTGTGTCATAATTAACCTCCTAAATTGCTCTCTCTCCAATTACAGTGTGCCTTTCTCAAGAGCAGTGACTCATCTTCTTGTCCCCAGCACCTGGCACACAGCCTGGCACATGCCAGTTCTTTTCAACAGATGCCTGTAGAATACCTGTTATTCTGTACAGACCACCACTTTGCCCTCATACCAGTGACCTTGCAAAAGGTGCCACACCTGCGCTGTCCTGCCCCCCAGGACCACACCTTCCTAGGAAGTAGGCAAGGCTTATGCCTGCTGGAAACAGCCCCCTCCTCTGGGTCAGCCAGCAAGACCCCTCATCAGAGCCTGGGCTAGGGGATTGGCAGCCCACTTTAGGCATGGAAGAGCCTATCCAGGAAGTGCCAGAGGTCATTTATGTTCCCTGGAGGGATTTCCAGTTTCCCCTGGGAGCAGGCATCCTGGGTCACAGTTTCAGTTTGTAGAATATCTTAGGAGAGCTGGGGGAGGCCTGTCCCTTCTTCTTGGAGGTCAAGAAGGTATTGTAGCTGGGCCCCAAAGGAGTGAAAACAGTTCTTCACGGAGCTGAGGATGGGGCTTCTAGCTTCCAGTCCAGTAGGGGCCTGGAACTTGTGCGGGGGGGGGGGGGGGGGACGGACTGGGCAACCCACAGCCTGCTAGCCTGCTGGTAAACAGTTTGCATTTCGCCTCTCCTTGCTCCCAGGTGTGAGGTATTAGCCATTAGTGAGCACCTTGCAGTTTCCAATCATCTTTTTTTCTCTTGGGTTCATGGGACTTCCTGCTTGGAGCAATAGAGACTGCCTGGTTATTTTGAAGGGACTTGGGATACCGCACTAGTCCCTTAAACAGGAAGCCAGAAGTCCCGGGACTAAGCAAGTTAACCGCTCATTCACCACAACTGGCTGCCCATGGACGATCCCTCTGGAAATGTACCCGGAAGCAGGCTTTGGGCAGAGCCTGCCAGAATGTCACCTGATGCTGAACCCTTCCACAAAACCTGCACCTCCCTTATCCCTTCCCCCTCCCTGTCCACGGCTCAGTGGCCAGAAACCAACTCCCTGGGAGGGAAAAAAGAACTGAGTTTTCTAAGCTGCCCAGGTCTGGCCAGCCTCCATCAACAGACTAAGCAAATCCTAAGAATCAGGCCTTAAAGCCAAGGTATTCAGGACACTCAACCTATTAAATATTGGAGGATTGATTGGATTGATTGGCTGAGAGACGCTGTCGGTCTTCTCTAAGGGGAAGGATGGAGCTCAAGATCTACAGGAATCCAGTGACCAGATCCCTGACTTCCAGAATTCCAGGTCAGGAAATTCAGAGAGATACTGGCTAATTTTATAATACACTCCCTGTAATAGCTGACTTCTATAAAATATTGAATAATTTCAAATTGTCTTATACATATATCTGATGTTTATGTCAAAGAAGTAAATATAATTCCACAAGGCAGGTATTATCTCCATTTTATAGATTTTGAAACTGAGTTTCATAGAGGCTAACACCAGCTTTGGGTTATAACCATTTATTTTAACCCCTTTGGACTTGGACTCCACTGTACCATACCTGCAAAGTGCTTTTCTCACCTCTCCTATAGCCTATCATTTTCTGCCACATGGGTGGTTATTTACATCTGTCTTATGTCCTGAATCAAGGTATAAGCATTCAGGGAAAGATGTGCGTTTGATTCATTCATCCATTTCCTTTTGGACCTTGTTTGTATGTAGTGAGGCCCCAATTAATATTTGTAAGGGAGTCAGGTACTGGTGGCTCACGCCTGTAATCCTAGTTATTCAGGAAGCAGAGATCAGGAGGATCACAGTTCGAAGCCAGCCCAGGGAAATAGTTTGAGAGACCGTATTTCAAAAATACTCAGTACAAAAAAGGGCTGGTGGAGTGGCTTAAGTGGTAGAACACATGCCTAGCAAGCATGAGTGCCTGAGTTCAAGCCCCAGTACTGTGAAAAAAAAAAAAAACCCAAAAAACATATATATATATATACATACTTGTAAGTGAATCAGTAGGTGAAGAATGGAAGACACTGGATGCAGAGCAGACTTGTCAGACTGTCAGTGGGCTTTGCTGCCTCCTTCTCCAACAATCCCTTCACTTTCAGGAGTCAGCCTCAGGACCATGCTACATGGGGCCATTGCCTGGCCTGTGGCAGGGCTGGGTGTCTTCTTTATCCCTATCTCTGTCCTCATTGGCCCCCAATGGTCCCATCCACTCTGCACACACTGCAGCCTGCAGCCATGTGGCCTTTCACCAGCCTCTCCAGTCACCACCAACTTTAAAAGACCCAATCCTTGCCTACCCCCTATCAGAGATCTAAGGCCACCCAGTACTCTAACCCAGCCTATACCCCAAAGCAAGAGCTTCAGGGCCACAAGGAGACCAGAGATGGTGCCTTCACCAGGGCAGGGTGGGGTGGAGCCGAGTTGGCCAGCTGGCTTCTGGGCTGTGTCCAGTCCCAGCTGTACCCTGTGTTGCTTGGGACTTGACTGTCTCCCTCACCGGAAGCCCAGCTGCGGTGCGGCCCAGGCTGCCGGGAACCCAGTGTGCTATTCTGGGAGTGTGATGGGGCTGGCTGCAGCTGAAACTTCAGCTCTTTTGGTTTCCAGGCTGTCCTCCTCCCCTGTGATGATAAGGCAGAGTTCAGTCATTATGCAACCTTTGAGGGTCTTAATGGCAGTTGTGGTCATGCTAAAGTAGGACCTAGCAGAGTGGATGTGCTCAGCCCTCTGCTGCAGCAGCCTCTTTCTTGCTGTCACTCACAGGGTCCACAGTCATTTTCCTTCAGTTTTACAATTTGTCTTCACACCCACCCTGCTACAGTAACCCATTCCCAGGCCCTCAGGCACAGTCCATCCCAGTTAAATCCAG